AAAAATAATTTTGGAGAAATAATTTTTTAATTTTTTAAATTTTTATTTGTTATTAAAAAATTTAATTAATAAAAAATATTTTTTAATTAAATAAAAATTTATCTTAGTTTTCATAAAAGTATTTTTCTAAAAAATTTAAATAAAAAATATTTTTTGAAAGTTATAGAAAATTTAAAAATATCATATTATTTGTTAATTATATTAAATTTGGTACTCAAACTTTTAATTGCTATATATATTTTATTTTAAATATTTATTATTTAATTTTATCTTTTAAAAATTAATTTTTATATTAAATTTGATCCTTATTTTTAGAATTGTTATTTGTTTTTTTCTTATTATTTTTTATTTAAATTTTTTATTTATCAAATTTGATCCTTATTTTTTTAATTGTTACTTATTTTATTTGAAATACTTTATGAAATGTTAATTATTATTATTTTAATTTCTTCATCTTTTATTTTTTAGATTTGATCTCTATTATTTTGATTATTATTTATTTTATTTGAGATAATTTATGAAATTATAATTTTTTAATTTCATTTTTGTTCAACTTTTTAATTTATAAGATTTGTTCATTATTATTTTAATAAACTTGAGAGAAATGAAATATTAATAAGTTATTTTCCAGTTTATTTTCTATGATATAACTAGATACTAAAAAATATTTTTTAACTTATTTTTCATTATATTACCAAATATCATAAAATAATTTATTTTTTTAAAATTTACTATCTAAAAAAAACTATTTTCTAACAAACAAATAAGATATAAATGGTAGTTGAGTTTTGTATCTGAAATCTACTAAAACAAATTAACTTTGATGACTGAGTTTTATACATAATTAGAATTATACTCAATCTCAAACTTAACAATAAAAGTTAAAACAATTACCCTTTAATTTTGCCCTCTACCTGACTTTACCCTTGCTTTTTCTGCGGTGATATATTTTCTAGTGTAATTATTTTTTTAATTAAATTTTAAACAATTTATTTATATTTTTTATGTTTTAAAAAATCCCTTTCACTCTTTTTTTATTCACATAACATCCGTATTTTCATTTATAATTTTCTTTTAAGATTAAAAAAATAACATATTGAAACTAAAGCTTATTGAGAGAGATATTTGTTGAAAAAAATATTTTCATTAAAAAAAAAATTGTTCAATTGTCACCGCGTTCTAGTTGTTAGTAGTTAGACAGTTCTCACATTAGTGCTGGTCGTTGGCAGTTAAAGAGCTTGAGAAGACATGTTGTTCAATAATGTAGGCATTTTAAATATTAGATGAATGTATGTGTTTCGGGTCCTATATATCAACTATTGAATTTATCTCTTTGATATTAGTTTTTTTTTTTTTTTGGGGGGGTAAAACTAAAGTCGAATATTGTTGGTGTCGGGAGTTGATTGTAGAGTACAAACTAAAGTCGAATAGTGTTGGTGTCGGGAGTTGATTGTAGAGTACACAACAAATCATAACTATGTATTTACGTTGTATTTAGCGGCTACACTAATACGTTCATAATGTTTATTAGAATGGTAGTGACAATGATGTATGTTATAGTTATTGGTTGGATTGAATTTTTTTAGATTTTTAAATTATTTTTTTTTACTTTTTGATATGGGAATAATAAAAATTAAAAAATATTATTTTATTATATTTTTAAACAAAAGCCATAATTATACTATAATACCAAACACCACCTCTAAAAAAAAAGGAGTGGTCATCAGTTAATTTGTACAAATTATAGCGACACTATTCTGTCGGAAGGGACACTCTTTGTTTGGTCAAAGATTACATGGATTCTTCGCACCAAATCCACTTATCCTCTCGAATGCCGTCTCCTGCGAAAGCGGGGGCTCTTATGGCCCACAAAGGTATACATTTAACCTTTATAAATTAGAAAATTTATTAATTAATCAAAATATTATTTAAATTTTAAATTTTATGTAGAATCAAATAAAAATATTTTTTAATTAATGTTATTAATTTATCAAGGTTATTCATTATATTATTAGAAACCTGTTAGTCATCTTTCTTGTTTTGATTTTTGAAAAATGCATGATTTTAATTTAAGCCAAACTATATCTATATATATAATTTTATTTTATGTTGCATAATAAATAATCTTAAGATAATTGATACTCATTTGGATACTAAAACTTAAAGAATAGGGTATAAATATTTAAATAGTTTATTTAGTAAAAACTCTTACAAGTAAATATACGTCAACCATTCCTAAGTGCATGGCCGAGCTAATTTATACACTTATGAATGATTCAAAATAATAGGAAGTTAGGTTTTTTGGAGTATGTAATTATCAAACAAACTCAAAACATTTGGCAAATCCAAATAATAATTCAACATCTGAACCATGGCCAAAGCAAGGCATCTTCACACATGGTAGCACATGGGATTTGCATACTTTATGGAGCATAAGCTTGCAGCACTGGAAATTATATAATGTAATGATGATTATGAAATTAAAACAACTGTTTAGTGACAGCTTACAAGGCAGGCTTATCTACTCATAATTAAATGAAAGACTCTTTGGAGCACCTCGTGAAGCACTCGGTGACTCCTCACTTGTCAAGGACTCCATGAAAATGGTGTTAAAATCCCTAAAAATCGAGGGTTGAAATTTTTTATTTTTATTAATTATGAATATTGTATCCATTTACATATATTTTAACTAATATTTTAAAATTAATAATTATATAAATACTCTCTAGTAATCCTAAAATTTATAATATTCAAAGTGGTAATTTTTTAAAAACAAATCTAAAATCTAACTAATTAAATTATATTTTTTTAAATTAAAAATTATAAAAATTATATATTTAAAAATATAGCTTAATTAGTGATGTCCTGAGTTTACTTTTTTAAAATTAAAAGTTATAAAAATTATATATTTAAAAATGTAGCTTAATTAGTGATGTCCTGAGTTTACTTATCTGATATTATTAATTTAAGTTTTATAAATTTTATAATTATTAAAAATTTATATAATTATTAATTTAAAAATTTATAAAATTAATTAAAATACATATAAATTTATCTACACACTAAAATAATCTAAAATTAATTTTGCAAAAACTGACCCACAAATACGATACCATAATTAAATTAAAAGAAAGGGCTCGTGTACATTGCCCTATATTATATAAATAATATTTTTCCTGGTCAGCTGGAAGTGAGGATCCATGGAGGCACGTATGCACCTACCTCTAACACTACCTCTCGGTATTCGAAACAAAGTCATAGAACTAATTACGAAGTGGGAAATGGTGGCCATTTTACATGACAAAAGCTCAAGCACCATGAATCGAGCACCTTTTAACTTGTCTCCATGAAGTGTACCAGTCGTTCTCACCTGCATCTCGTCATCTTGACATTTAGCAAATGATTTCCAACATGCCCTATCTCTTTCTTTAGGCTTCTGTATGTATTGCGGCTGGCATTTTTCTACTTGTTATTTCAAAAGACATGAAACCAACACACAACATACATCATGATTGTATATGTGACTCTTTGCTGTGACTACCAGAAAAAAAAAAAAAAAAGACCATAAGAAATGCTGGTGAAAGATATTCTATCATTGTTGGTATAACGATGAAGAATATGATGAAGATTTTCATGAATAATTTTCAACAAAAACAATGATGGAATTAAAAAAAATTCACTATTATTTTTAATATGTCAAACTATTTATGAAGTTCCATCAATAGTTTTAATAAAAAAATTAAACCTGCTAGGTTTTACTTACTCGATCTCAGCAAATTTCTCTCTCTCTCTCTCTTTTTTATTTTTTTAATTTCCAGGCCAAACACTCCCCTCTTTTTTTCTCTTTGGAACCTCCACCTACTTCCACAAATCCTGTCACCACAACCTATCAATGTCGATCCAACACCTTTCCTAATATTTAAGCTTCCTTTCCTCTATTTCATTTCGTGTGAAGCTTTGCTTTGTCAAGTAAGTAAGTTCGTTCGTTTATTTTTTAATTTATTTATGTTTTAAGTTAATGTATTAAGATTTATTTGTAGTTTTTGTAATTTGTTTGTATATTTAAGTGTTTTATTATTGTATAAAATTTTTAATGTAGAATTTGTATTTTAGGGTTTGTTTAATATTTAGGTAAAATAGATTTAATTCATCACTTAATACAAAATTGAGTATATAATTTAGGTGTATCAGAATTGAAGAAATAATAGGCAATTTAATATGTACCAATTATTTCTTTTAATTTTATGATTAAGTTGAAAAATTAAGAAAAAATAAATTTGTATGGAACTAATAATAATTAAAGGTTTTAATTTAGATCAAATAAGTTTAAATTGAGAAAATGATGGATAATTAGTTATGTCTTTATTAATTTTAGTCAACTTAGGGTTTTGTTGAAAATTTAAAAGAAATTAAAGTGATGTATAATTGATAATAATTAGGGTATTAATTGATGTCATTTATTTTTAAATTTAATAAATACTGGGCAGTTAATTAGGTATCAGTTATTTATTATTAATTTTATGGTTTAGTTGAAAATTCAGGAAAAATTGAATTTTGATACCTTGGAGTCAGCTCGAGCATTATATGAACGGATACTAGACCTGCGCATCGCCACCCCACAAATCATCATCAATTATGCTTATGCTTGGCTTCTATAGGTATGGATATTCCTTCGATAATTGTTGTTATGAAATTTACGTTCCTTTTAATTGTTACCTTTACTAGTTGGAATTTACAAATGTTATCTGTACTGGCTTATTCAGGAACAGAAGTACATTCAAGTATCCTCTCGGGTCACATATCCTCGTA